GTCAAAGAAGTTTTGCGACCCATGTTATACGATTTCTTGCTGTATCGCTAAGCTCTCAAAATACCCCCCAAAAAAGGAGTTGTGCACTTGGTTTGAACGGTAAAAGGGATATAAGCCTTAACAAACAGGACCAACAGCTAACATCCTAACCCAAATTTTAGAACAGATATCTGAATTCTAGCATCGCGAATTGCAGTTGTTCGTTTATTCGTTTATTGGCACTAGATGGATCCATTTGTCACTGACGGCGAGACAATGAGGCTGCACTTGCAGTGTTAATGCTTAGTAGCTACTTCAGATACGCATTCTTAGATCCAGCATTGAAGATTCGGGGCCTGACAGAGCTCTGGGTTCAAATCACAAGTTCTCACCATGGACACCCAATAGGTCCATTCTAAATACTTAAATACCCAAAGGAACGTAATGAACTCATCCAGCAATTAGATACACCCACTCAAGACCTATTCAAGACGTGTTCAAGATGACCATTTCTTGCCAGCTAATAACCCATGAAGGCCAGCCCATTGACGGCGTTTTTGTGGAGCTCAATTGTATGGACTTCCCAGAACAACACTTTAGTGGACTTTCTGACAACTTGGGCATGATAGACGAATGGATTAGCGTTCGTGATCAAAAAGTCCAATGTGTTCAGTGCACCCCGAACATGGACGGTTCGCATTTGCAAATGCGCTTTCTGCCAACCCGTTTTTGGCGAAACGTTCCCAGAAGCTTGGAACACAATTTGGGTACCGCAGCAAGAGAATTCTCACTTTGTCTTCCACGTTAACGGAGACATGTATGCGATTATCAAGAACGGTGCTTCGCATGTTGAGACACCACGAACTGGCTCGCGTAGTCTGACGTTCAGCTTCGGCCCCTGTGGACTGAAGGACAACAATTCACTAGGCCTGCACCCACCCGGGTTCAACTTTGGCACCTCAGGACCTTTCGAGAGAAGACGTGGGTTTAAGAGAAAAGTGACCAGAAGTGAAGCCACTGATGAAACCCCTCAGCAAGAGGGTAGTAACCACAGCATCTGAGGCGCTCAGCTAGGCTTGCTACGCCGTAAATACCCTCCATTTTGCAGAACTAGTGTAGCACAGTGTATGTACCTTGTGAAGTCGTAGTCAACCAGCCGATATGTAGAGGTATGATCCATAATCTTAACAAAATAAAATACAAAATACAAAAAGCGCGAAATGGAAACATACTAGCTCAATAGGTCTCCAATCACGGACATGTATGTAACAGCATGAGACACGATGACTTGTGTCGCGACCTTAGAACTTTGATCTAGTAAACCAGAGTGGCGATCTTAGTCGTCTGCGGGTCATCGATGTCTTCTTCTGATGTAAAATATACTTGCTCCCCATGAACATTGAACAAACATACTCATCAACCAAGCAGTACATACGAAAGCCTTGGTGCTTGGCTTTGTCATGGGTGGGATCAGCAGGTCTCAGATCTCAGAACTCGGATGTTAATAGCCTCCCAGTCTCCCCATCTATGTGGCCGTCTTGCAGCTGGGGACCCATTGACACTAGACTCGTATCGCGGATGCACTCAACCTAGCATCGCGGGCACCTCCATGGAGATCGACGCGCTCGTAAAGATTTTTGCTGCCCTCAGTCTGAGTGACAACGAGGATGAGGTTGCCCGGAGGCGTCTGCGCTGCATCCTTTGTGGAAAGGGGTTTCAAAAGAGTAATGACCTCACCCGCCATATGGAAGGGCCACATCGGAGGGCTGGAAACTCCATCTACTGCTGCAGGGATGGTCACTATCGGACAGCAAGGAAAGGAAGTTACGAAAGACATCTTCGTAAATGCAAGGTAAAGAAAATTTCTAGTGGATTGTTCCGTTGCCACTGCGGAGAAGCGGACGTCGATGAGGCAAACCATGTTAGTCACATTCGCAAATGCAGGCGTGGGAAAAACGCTTCCAGCTCATGCAAGGAGAAAACTGAATGACACGAATACCGAGAGGCCCCGCATCACGTAATCGGCATGCCACCCAGCCACCACTTCATGGGATAAAGGTTTGCATACGAGCTTAATTAAGGATAATAAAGGATAATAGGATAATTTACTGGTCCTGTTGTGGGAGGTTTGAAGTTTAATGATACAAAATTTCTCTCGCACTGAACATGCGTGCGGCTATTAGCGACACTTATAGAGTAAAGCTTTGTGGATAGAGACGCTGTGGACAGTGTGACGCCGTGGGACAGTGTGACGCCGTGGGACAGCGTGACGCCGGGGACAGTGTGACGTTGTGAGGGAACCAGCGAGATAGCGGGTGCTCCTAGTGCACCCCCGCATCAGCCACTCCATCTCTGGAAAGATTATAAGAACGCTACCTGTGAAAAGACCGTCTCTGTAAACGTTATCGCTGAAAAATTAATCTCCGATAAGTCCATCTTTGAAAACACCGTCTATGAAACACCATTTCTGAAGGCGGGTAAGGTAATCTCTGCAAAGGTCGTCCGTGAAAAGGCCCCCTCCGTAAACGCTATCGCTGAAGAGGCAATCTCTGAGAAGCCCATCTTCGAAAACACCAGCCGTGAAAACACCATTTTTGGAGGCGGATAGGGTCATCTCCACAAAGGCCACCTCATCAAGAAGGCAACCTCCAAAAATGCACCCCCAAGAACCCATCTTTAAGGACTCGTATGCAAATTCTCAGTTCTTAAAACTCGGCTCCTAGAATGAGGCCGTTGCAATGATGGCCTTGGGTGGAGCAGGCGCATTTACATATTCAATAGTAGTAAGGTCAATTTTCGAAGCAAGGCTTTCTTTTAAACAAAAACAAATGGAAGCTGGCTCAAAAGAAGCAACAGGCGACTAGAGAAGCCAACCTACGCTACCGAGATCTACTTGTTCCTTGGGATGTTGATATACATGTCCATCCATGTCGAACCACGCTTGGAGCACTATTGGAGGGCTGCTCCAACTAATCCAGTGCACACAATTAACAGAGCCCACAGAAAATGCTCTCGCTTGCAGTGGTATTATTTACCAACGGCTTGTAACTGAAGCCTTAGGTATATACATGTACATATTAACTGCGGAGACGTCGAAACTAATCTCGAACCCGTCGCAGCTTCCCAGTCAATTTCTTGAGCGTCCTTCGTTTCTTGGTCGTCGAAGGATTAGGTGGCTCTGTGCTGAGCGCGGATTGAACAAGACGTAGACTTTCCGCCGCCCGACACGTACGGGGATGCTCCTCCCAAGAATTCGCTTTCTCTTCTCAAGCACCTCCCTCAGCATTAGTGCTGTTTCATCTAGTTTGCCTTGGTCACCTAGCATAATTGCAAGGTTATTCATCGCCGAGATTGTATCCGGATGCTCATCGCCAAGAATCCGCTGTCCTTTCTCAAGCACCTCATTTTGTGACAATGCAGCTTCGTTCCAGCGTCCAATCTCTGCGAAAAAAATATCAAAGCTTTCCACAGCCTCCAGCAAACCAACTTGGTCCCTGTCAAATACTGTTGAGGCCCTCCTAAAGCTTTGGACGTTGTCTACTAGAGTGACACAACTCGCAGCTTTGAGGCAGGCCCAGCCTTACGATCACCAATAACCTTCAGGTAATTATTGAGCAACTGTGAGGCAGCGTACCAAAAGCGCTGCACTCGTTCGTCGCTTTGTAGTCGATCGTAGCCCCAGGCATGTACAAGGCGGTGAATTGAGTATGAGGTTTGTCTCATCTTATGCTGGCAGAGCGAGTATTTCTCCAGAAGCTGAAAACATTCCTCCAAGTGAGGGAGGTCCACCCCATTTTGGCACCCTAAAATTAATGTCCATGGTGCGACCGTTGTTGAACATGAATCAATGCCTAAGCAGAAAAGCTCAAGGAAGATGTCTTCATAGTGAATAAAATACAACAACGTGAGAAGGCGGGATGCTTCCGGGAGGTGCCTGGACACCGCCGAGTAAGACGTCTCCCACACTGTCATAACGCTATGGTCATACCTTGCAACGAGTTCATCTGGCGTTTCCGAGAGCAGCTTCGGTCGATGGCGATGGAATTCATCAAGATATACGGATAAATTAGATGACAGCCGCGGGGTCTGTGACACATATTTTCCAGCCATGCTGATTGCCAGTGCAAGGCACCCTAGCTCATGCACAATGAGTTTGGCTTCAGCTACCACATCATTACGTGATGGTTGTATCTCTGCGCAATTTAGGAACAGTTCGACACTTTGTGACTCTTCAAGTCCCCCAACAGAAACCCCTTCGAACGTCGACATAGATCTTGCGATAGATGCTCGACTAGTAATGATAATATGTATATTAGGGGATCCTGGAATGTATTCAGACAGCGCCACAAAACTTTTGTCTTTTTGGTGCAGATAATCGGCACCGTCGAAGACGATAAGAAACTTTCCAGAAGCTCTAGTAAACCAGCTGAGTACTTCTCTCTTCACATCATCAGGACTCGGATTGCATAGTAGTGTAGTAGGATCTGCTAGTAGTCGGTATATAGCCAGGAAATCTCGGTCGATAGATGCCGGTTGTTCCGCTTGAATCCAGAAGGTGGCACCATACTCCGTTCGAAAACGCTGCAGGTAGCTCAGAGCTAGCTGTGACTTTCCCGCTCCTCCCATACCCCATACACCTACCTTCTTTACCTCCCCTTGTCTATTGGGGCCGAGGGGTCTTACGAGCTGATTTCGGATGCTATCACGAAGAGTTGTTCGCTGAACAAACGTCTTCACTGGTGTAATTGAGCTCAATGGATAGCTCGGTATGTGACTACGTTCTACAGGAGAGGACGCTAGTCAGTATTCAGTATTCGCGACTAGAACATGACAGAGCAAGTGATTGTAGCTGAGAAGAACAAAGACTAACTTGTCTAATCTATCTTCAAAGCGCGCTCGACCTCTTCCTTGATTGTGCTCAAAACTAACTCGCACGCGAGGCTTTTTGCGGACTCGAATTTGCAAATGGTACTGTGATCAGCGTGCATGAGTATCTGTTTCTCACGCGTACCTTGTAGATTCTATGTAGCAGATTTCTTGTCAACGATCTATCGGGAGTCAGCACGATTGCTTTTGTAGGTTCATTCGCTTGACCTACAATGCCCATCTTGCCATATTCATATCCTTCAAAGAAGTTAACGACAAGACATTTCTCATATACATGGCGAGATTGCTCGGATCGTTTGGTCGCTTCGTTCGAGGTTTTCTTTAGGGCTTCAAGGAGGTCATTGCTTGGCTTTACCATGCTTTTTCTTACTATTTTGGCCACAATATCACCAACAGTAGCATAATTCCCGCCTTGCTGAGGGGTGGCAAAGAAAACGAGAAGACGCGTCGCCTCGACGATAGGTCTGTATGATACGTCTAATGTGGCTGAGACGAGTGCCTATAGGGCATTAGCATTGGTTATTGGGCATAAAAGCCAGCACTCACCTCTTTGACGACCAATCCACCCAGACTATGGCAAATGAACACGAGAGGTTTCTGTGGATCAGTCTGCGTTGGTCAGGACAGAGCCCGAATTCAAATATGGCTAGTCGCTTGGGGGAATACCTTCCGCCTCAGATTAAGCCATTGTAGCGAATTTTTCGCGTGGTCATCGAGTTTGATAGCCGCTGCACCAACGGCAGGGCTCGAGTTATATTCGAACATCATCTCCCTGATGGGTCTGGAAAGGGCACCAGGGAGGAAATCATTAAGCCAGAGCTTATCGCCCATCGTCCATGTTTTTCGAGCGTGCTCATCGGTGTTCTTAAAGCTGAGGCCGTGGACTGCGACAACGCTAGTGGAATGATCTGGTTAACATTGCACGGCTACAGGTGTGTGACGTAGAACATACTCTAGCTTGGCCACTCGGTGGGGGTGGTCATCGTAGACGCTGTCGAAGATGACTTTCAGACCAGGTTGAATCATCGTCGGCGATCGGTAAAGGATTTGAATTGCTCATCAGGCTAGCATAAGGGCAGGTGGTGAGAAGCGCTTAAAAAGCAGGAGAGCTCAGGTCGACACAGGCTTGGCTGAACCATCGCAAGTTTAATGGACATTGATCTGAACGTTTAGCTGTCGCACCCACTGGTATCAACATTGAAAAGCCACTCTACACTAACTGGCAGCGGGGCGTTCGTGGCGTTAGGACGCTGAGAACACATGAAGAACGTGGCTGCATCGGGGCTGGCTGCGCAACTTACATATGGGACGGAACTCTGCATCCACGAGGCGGAATACTATTCATTGAGAGTGATATGGCAAGAAACTTTGTGGTTCAACTGGTGAGGTGTTGATTGAATGTATTTGACTGGATGATGCCACAAAGGTTGCACGTATCAAAACTTCCCTTTCATAGAGCGCGCCCTCATCCTAATGCAAAGGCAAACGCCGTCAACCATAGCTGAGGCGCGAGTCGCTGGGACTAGAGCAGCTTCTGGCGTCCCATCCTAATCAATTCAAACACTGTACGGCCCAGTAAGAGATAGCTTCCTTGTGAGCGCACATCAAGCTGTGCGATGTGCGAATGGCACAGAATCGTTCTTCCTCCTCGGAGGGAAAGAACCGCTAAGGAATAGCACCCATCAACCACTTAAGCGGCCGTGCATAAACCAAAGGATGCAGTATCGACGCAGGGACAACGCGATTAAAGCTATAGTTGCATATTGCAACGTAGAGGAAGGGCCAACTGCAAGCCGGACTGATATGCCGCCAACAATGACGGTCTCCCCGAGAGCCTCCATGAGCCATCGGAACAACCCATTGTACAGCAGCGTTGCAGGTCCGGAGTGAGGCGATGACGGCGTCTGGGCCAGGTCCAGGTGATACACCAATGACAGATTCGTAAGTGCAAGATTAAAGTGTACTTCTAATGGATTACTACGATGCCGTTGCGGAGCAGCGCATATCAATGAAGTAACCCAGGTTGGCCACACTCGCAAATACAGGCGCGAGCACCAGTCCATTCCGGGGCTCACAATGCAGGAAGACTGCTGAACGAGCGCAAAACTCACCGAGACGTTGAGACACAGTCACTTTCACGGCAAGAAGAATCCACCAAGGAAGGTAGCTACCCTACCTCATAGTAGCAAGGGGCCGAATAGGGAGTCCAAATCAAAACTTAAGCAGCCGAAAAATCGTCACCGCTGTGCCATCGCTGGCTTCCTAGATTACGGGTTTCGCAGACCAAGGTTTAGTGGAGGTGGTCTATATATATTTACATGGTTTAGATAGTTATAGAACTGAACATTTCCTGTCTAGTAATTCAGAATTCTCAAGCCAGCGGTGCTAGTTTTGCGAAGTGGCTTACTTTCATTGATAAAACTCCATGCCAAATTCGGTAACTAGCAGGGCTTGTATTCCAAATGCTCCGTGGAACACGCCAGTAAAGTCTTGTTGTAGAGTCTGTCCCGGAGCTGGGGCGCTGTGTGAATGCCACTGGATTCAAGTCCCCCGCAAGGGATATCATAGCTAAACAACCCGGTAGACGGATCGCTCATCTTCACTGTCGTCGAAGGGATAAACAGGTAGTAGCCGTCTAGTCTACGTCATGAGTATCTTGTGCTGGACACATAGGGACAACTTCAACAGTGCTTGGCACTCCGCAAGCTACGGTCAGAATAAAATATCAATGATCTATCTAGTTTACAGAACTACACCTGGACAGGCCTCATTAAACATTTCAACGGGCTATTATTCCCAATCCATGGGACCCCACTCCAGCGTGCCATCCTCCTGTCTAATCTCACGCTGCTTTCCCATTAAAATCTTAATCTCCTTTAGAGCAATAATATATATAACCTTTAACCCCCCTATTATTTCTATTATAATTTATTATATATTATATATCCCTAATAATACCTCCTTTAACTCTCTTAAGGCCTTTTATTTATTTCTTAATTTTTTTACCTACTATAACGCCTAATTTATACTTTTTATTCTTAAAGTTATATATAATAAATTATTTTTATTTAATACTTTTCATATATTATAATAATAAGAGTAATATAGCTATTTATTTAACTTTTTAAAAGGTAATTTATTATTTCTTAGTTTACTTATTTCCCTTTATATAAAAACCTTAAAAATATATAATAAATTTATAATAACCTATTTAATTAAGGCATTAAATCCTTTAAAATCTAGTTTAAAATTACCCTTTATATCTTTTAAAGTAAACTTATATACTAATAATATTAAAGTATAATAATATAAATTACTAAAGCTAATAAGCTTCTAGTAAAAATAATACTAGGTTTATTAAAAGCAGTAAAAGGCCTAAAAATAAGCAGGGGTTCCCGCTTTAAAAAACACTATACTTACTTCTTTTATTATTATTATTATTAAAGTAATAAAAGGCACTTATAAAAACATAAATCTTACTTTATAGTAGTATATATTAAATATTTAATATAAAAAGGCTAAATAAGGTCCTTTTTTAGGCATTATAAGGTATTTCTTAGTTTACTTATTTCCCTTTATATAAAAACCTTAAAAATATATAATAAATTTATAATAACCTATTTAATTAAGGCATTAAATCCTTTAAAATCTAGTTTAAAATTACCCTTTATATCTTTTAAAGTAAACTTATATACTAATAATATTAAAGTATAATAATATAAATTACTAAAGCTAATAAGCTTCTAGTAAAAATAATACTAGGTTTATTAAAAGCAGTAAAAGGCCTAAAAATAAGCAGGGGTTCCCGCTTTAAAAAACACTATACTTACTTCTTTTATTATTATTATTATTAAAGTAATAAAAGGCACTTATAAAAACATAAATCTTACTTTATAGTAGTATATATTAAATATTTAATATAAAAAGGCTAAATAAGGTCCTTTTTTAGGCATTATAAGGTAGTAACTTAACTACATAATTAAATAAATTTCTGTAATATTATTAAATTAATATAATATATAATTTAGGACTTATTTAAATAGTTATTTATAGACGGTATAAATGCATAATTTTAGATTAAGATTCCTGGATTATAAACCTTAGTAATAAATTCTAAAAACTAAGGTAAAACCTAGCTTATTTATAAAGGGATTATATATATTTAAATATAATAAAATTAAGAGCCTTAAAAGTATATTTTAAGAAAACTATCTTTTAAGCCACGGGTTTCTTAAGTTTACTTGTATATAATAAAAGTAATTTAAGTAATAATAATATTAAAGAATCTAAAGGTATTTAATTATATTTAAAAGATAATATTAGATTTATAATTACTTAATTAGAACTGGTCATGATTTCTAAATATTATTAGTATATATTAACTAATTACTCTTATATAATTATATAAAGCAAATTCCATTTAGATACTTTAGGCTATAGTAGAAATTTAAGTGTTTAATAACTAAAATAATATATTATATTTCCCTTTAAAGATCATCTATATATAGTACGATGGGGTTGCCTCCTCAGCGTTTCATATACGACCAAGAATGATATAAGTGTAACGGGTCAAGCCGCTTGAACGGCGGCCGTGCCGCCTATCTCCAACTCCCCCAGCGGGTTTCATTCTAGAAGCTTCTGTGGAGGCATATTGGAAAGATATAAGGCGCTGTTATTATGTAGACTTCGCTTTTCTTTCTTCATCTTGATAGTAAACAGCATAGGGACTAGTTAGTTGAATCAACTCACTAGAGGCCTTTCACACCCACAGGGGCTCTGTCAGAAACTCTCAAGATCGAACTTGTGTTCTTTGCAGGCTGTCTTCAAACATTGCAAATACCTCATTATTGATGAGAAGTCTATGATTGGCATTAAGTTGCTAGGCCTTCTGGATCAACGTCTCAGAGAAATCTTCCCAGCCCGTCAGGATGAGATGTATGCCGGCATCAACATCTTTGTCTGTGGCGATTTCCACCAACTTCCTCCTATTGGAGCTACTGTGATGTATTCAAATCTTCTCAACGCGCGAAACGCTGACTTTTTGGCCGGCCAGCAAGCATACCGAGCTCTGGATACAACAGTCCGACTAACACAGTTGATGCGGCAAGATGGCGACGACGAGGAGACGCTTCAGTTCCGCCGCGCGCTCGAAGAGTTGAGGGTTTATCAAGTATCCCAGCAGAGTTGGCAGCTTTTGAATACGCGAGTACAGAATGAACTAACTCATAATGAGGTAGAGTCCTTTAAGGATGCACTGCGTCTTTACTTTCGTCGAGAGGAGGCTCATGTGCACAACCACCAGCGCCTCCGCGACTGCAAACAGCCTATCCTTAGAATCAAGTCTACGCATACGGGCCAAGGCGCGGAGGGGGCAAACGATAACGAGGCAGATGGGTTGGATCCTCACCTTTGCATCTGTCTAGGGGCGAGGGTTATGTTAACAGAAAATATCTGGGTTGAGAACGGCTTGGTGAATGGGTCTATGGGGACGGTGAGGGATATCGTCTGGAGAGAGGGCCAAGATGCTACCAAAGATATGCCGACTGCAATTATGGTAGAAGTCGATGATTACGAGGGTCCCAAGTTCCCCGGCACTGACTACATCCCCATCTTCCCCGTCACCAGGCGATTCGAATACAAAAAACGTGACTGTTCGCGCACTAACTTCCCCCTTCGCCCTGCGTACGCTATCACGGTGCATAAAGCGCAAGGATTGACGCTGAAACAAGTGGTCTTAAACCTAGAACGGAAGGACCATGCGCCAGGATTATCATATATTGCTATATCTTAAGTTAAGAAACTCTCTTTTATTATGTTTAAGATGCTGTTTAATTTAAGTTAATTTATAATTAAAGTGAGCTCGAACATGAAGGATAGGGAAAGGGATTGGGACCTGCGCACACTCCAGTGCTTGTAAATTAATAGATTTGTTTATCACGTCAAATATAGTAAAATATGAAGACGAAGATGCAAAGGAAGGATTTTCATGATGATAAGCTTGCGCTGGCATCCTAGTTGCGGGGGGCACGGGGGGCCGCAGGTCCCTCGTTTTCTTGCCAATTTATAGCCAGACATATAAAGTAAGAGCTATCTTCTAACCTTTTATTGTAGCCTTTGCAATATAATACCAGTTTTCGCTACCACGCTTTTATTAACATATAAATACTATTATTACTTATTATTTGCTAAAAATCATGAAGCCTTCCACACTCGCATTTGCTCTTGCTATGGCTACTCAAGCAGCATGTCGTCAGGTGACCGAGGACGAGACGCAGGTGATAGCTGGGTGCTTTCCACTCTTTAAAACGATCTGGCAACGACCTTCAAGCGAGCAAACATTTCTTATTCAATCTTTACAATTTTGCAAGATCTCTGTTAGAGACGATCAGGGTCTGGATCGCCGTTTTGTTCAAATCCAGTGCCCAGAGGTAAGTTGGCATTACCCTTTTATTGCCGGCCGGGAAAGCTAAAAAACTAGTAGATGTCTCCGTGAGGATAAGGACTATTGTTAGCTGCGTGTAGGCTGCAGATTGGGCCTACTACTTGTTCGATTCTTAGCTGTTATAACCTAGTCAGGAGAAACTGCCACGTGACTAAAGCGATACATTGACGGTTATAGCAGCTAGCGAGATAGATTCAACATCATCTCTAATAAAATATAGTTTACATTTTGCTCTTTATATTTTATATAAGTACCGTCAAATCATGGTTTTAAATATTCGCATAACATGAATTCTCCACTAAGGCTTGATATAGCTCGACGCTTTGCTGTTACGGCTAAGGTTCCCAAGGGATAAACTAGTCGTAGTTTATGTTGGCAGAGCCACTAGGGCAGTCAATCTGAGCAGCTGGGTGTTACGTTGGTAATAGGTCGTAGACCGTAACCAAGTGATCAGAGTCAAAGAGTAGTAAGCGAAGCTTAGGTCAATGTAATGATCTGTGTTGAAAGCTAATGAGCTAGAGCCTATCTACGGAGTGGATTTGGGGGTCCTTATATACAGGATGGTCGCTGTTTTCTGGGGGCGAGTATTGACTTGTGTGAGTCGTCCTGATCGCAACGCGATCATATCGACTTACACGGTCATCGCTCTGGTCGCAAGACGATTCCTGCGATCACCTTTCGCGCACGCTCCAACTATTCTTGCGACATAGGCCTTTGTCCCTCCGCGGGGTGGCTCATGCGGTTGGCCCATTCTGCGTGTCACAGCACCATCACGACTTGTCTAAGACACTCACGTGAGCACAGACCATTAGCGCACCATACAGCTGTAGTCTAGATAGCTTCCTCTTCCCTCCTCCTTAAGGCACAACTACGTTACTACTAGCACCTAAGATTCGCCCCGTGATGGTGCAGATGAGTCAATGTGTTGCTGGAGTCTGGACAGGAGACATTGTCTTCCGTTTATTGCTGCGGGTAAGTGAGCAAGAATTAGCTCTGGGCAGGGCCAGCCTTTTAGAACGAGCGCCGTCGTACTTACAACGGCCACTTTCTCTCCCGGCGCCATGAAAACGAGACTGCAAAGCAGATTGCATAAATATAGCTACTTTTCAAAATAATTCATAATATTTTCAAAGTTCACAAAGTAGCTAATGACGTGTTACAATTCTAGATATGCTACATACAGGACACGCTACTATAGCTGTCTAGCCTTGTTAACCTCGTGGCGAATGTCTTTATTCCTTTCCAGCTCCTTCCAGATCTTCTGCTCTCTCTTTTAGACGCTGTAGTTTACAAAAGAATTTGGCGCCCTCCCGAGTGTCGGTAAACTTTTTCTATCCACGATTCCTCTTGCTGCTCTTGTCATCCTTGGCACGGTTGAAGTCCTCTAGCTTAGGATTCCTGAGGCTTGCGGTCTGCACGACATTCTTCCGTGCTTGAATACTGCTTGGGTTCCTCTTCTCTATTCCATACTGCAAGCTCGCAATACTTCTTTGTTCCCATACAATTCTCGAATTGCCCAGGTAAGCAGATATCAGGGAGATTATCTTCTCCAATAAACGGTAATAGGCGCGACTTTGTCGAGGTCAGTCCTCCATCCCATGTTTAAAGGGGGCCAGGGGATTACCTATTTACTTACAGTCTTTTGCGGTTGCTGCTCAAGCGACTTTGTAGATTCCTGTGTGCCAGACGTTGTGGTTGATTGCTCTTGGCTCGGGTCCTGGGGTTTCTCTCTGATACACCTGGCAATTGACGCGATTAAAGAGTCCTCAGTGAATCCTTGTTCGGGGTTTAGTTTATGCTCGTTCTCCTGTCGACATTCTTGACGATACTTTTGACAGGATTCTTTGGAAAGCTTTAGATCGTAGCATAAACCTTCGTTAGCCGCAGGATCTCTCAGCTTGATACAAGCCTTGACGTCCTTTTCAAATTTGTCGAGGCCGGCTTTAGAGAGTTGCTTGCTTTGAGCGTTGCTGTTGGCATCGATATATAGGTAGATACATTCAGGCCACACATAGTTGACGCAGTAAGGGGTTGACATGGAACCGCAACCACCAACCCAGGCTCCATAGACATCTGTTTCATCCGGAAGCTTTGCACCATCGTCAGCTTCAGCACGCTTATCCTGAAGATGGGATGGGATAGCGAGTGCCTGGCCCGAGAGCACTGCAGCGACGATGAATGCGAAACCCTTCATATCGAAATGATGAAAAGGCTTAGACAATAAAAATTTAAAAATAGGAAAAAAAAGACGACTGAATTTCTGGCCGAGGGCAAGGCAATTGACCGACTAAAGAGGATGGTACAAAAGTCTCTAGAGATGTAGATGACGACGAGAATCTGGCAGCTTTTATGTTTTCTTTGCCCAGTGGTGATGGAAGCTCTAGGTACTATTATTTACGATGGAGTTTGTACAAATATTATTACGTCATTTAATTGCGGTTATTCCGTACATCAATGCAGATCCCAGTTTATATCGCTTGACGTAAAGACTAGCAATTCGTTGGGCGTGTACCCTTTGCGCTAGAATAAGCTTCCTTTTTACATTTCGGCCATGGTAAGGAGTCAAATCCATCTAATATTTATGCCAAATCTTGTAGTCGAGTCGTATGTTTATTCGGGACTCGTGCTCTAATGTTATTTATTCATGCAACAAACGTTGTCTAGTCAGTAAGAGTCTGTTTAGAGCTCGTATTTGTATACTCCAGTCGGCATATCCCAGTCGGCATAGAGTGACGAATTTAATAAGCTGCTCAAGGCCGAAGTGGACTATCGATAATGTAACCAAGGGCTAAGGGGGCAGCCCTTGGGTTTGCTAGTATGTCTAATGACTACATAAAGTAAGATGGACGTTGGCAATAACCGTAGTTGGTTATACTCAGGGTTCAAAGCCACTACACGAAAATCCACATATGGACTCACATATGGTTCCATATCAATTGCACTCCATGCCACTAGAGCCTGCTGTGGATTCTCTTCACTCCACGGAACCCCGGCCACATATGGCAATGGTGGAAATTGTGGTATTTTCTCCCGAGGTTTAACAAGTAGAACTATCTACATAGTAAATAGGACAGGTTCAAAGTATCTGTTAACTAGTATCCGTAACGGGCTAAGTGGGGTATCTCGGCTTGCGTTCCCGTCTCTGGTCCGGGTAGCGGGGCCGGACCTCCGACAAGGTAGTTTAGCTGCCCTGAGCTCAGGAGCTTAAGGTCTCTCTTTGTTTTGTTATTTTTTCTCTTTCTTCTATAACTTTGGTATTCGCATGCATTGCCTTGCCATTTGTTAATATACTCACTTAACCTGTTACAATATCCCGTGGTCAAGATATCATATTCAGGTCACCACCGTCACCTAAGGTCTTAGGTGGTGCGCATGAATGACCACCTGACTGGCAGAAAGTAGCTGCATCATCTGTGCATATGTTCATGGATCTGTTCCTCATATATTCTCATTAACCCTGTTATGGTGCTTATGTCAGCAGTGTGCAAAAGGTTATTTGAACTTATTTCTGGTAGCGGGATAGTGTGATGACACTGACGAGCCGTAGCAATCGACTAGATGTTTTAACCATCGGCTTATACTAGACGTTACGCAGCTGTGTACGGGCAAGATTGGCGGACTTGTTGGGTCAAATACTGATAGAGCCATCGAGAGAATATTGGCGATACGGCAAGAGTCAGATGGAACACGGACTCTTGGTACCTGACTTGTAATCATCACTGTAATGTGGAAATCCTTGCCACATGTGGACTCACATCCATTATGGATACATATCCATCCATACCACGGCCGTGATCTTAGTCATCATCCATATCCATTCCATATCCCCGAATGTGTAGTGGTGTGTAGTGGCTTTGAACCCTGAGCGAAGGTCATTGAGAATATGGTCTATGGAGTTGTTTTGCCTTAGCTTCCAGTCTTTCGTACTCAGCTATTGCTTCTGGGTCTGCCTTAATGGCTTCAAGATCACAGTGAGTCCAAGTACACTTGTTCGAGATCGTTGCCCCTACTCAACGCCACATATGCTTGTCCGTCAGAGACGATGTTAGAATTTAAGCCGACGGTAACAGCTGGCAGTGATAGGCCATGAACCTTGTGGATTGTCAACGTAAATGCGTTGTGATTGGAAGCTGCGCACGCTTATACTCCACCCCATTCGTCTGAAAATACGACGAAGTTTTATGCAAGTGCATGCATGACCTGAAATGCATTAGCTGCTTTGCGGATCTCTCAGCTTCGACGGTAGGGCCAAAGGAAAAAGAACTTACTTGGATACTGTCTAAAGAAAAATCGAGGTGCGGCCCTTGAGCCTGCAGTCTCCAATTCATTGGGTGTATGGACACAGCAGTCCAACAATTATCACACATAGGGGATGAGGACGCGAGTAATGCATGACCTTGATTAATGCTTGATGGCCTGAGGGACCCGCACAGCCGGGCAACCTTGCGTCGACACATGATGAGTTTGACAGAACCTGACACGTATAGAGTAAACTCCATGTGCCGTGGAATGCCGCGTTTAACGCCACATGAATTCACAATACGCGGAGTGGCGGACTATGTACAACAGCGAGGAACATGTGTTCATTGAGTCATTCATGGAGTATGCCAAGAGATAAATTAATAGTATCTAATGTCAACAGAGCTTGTCTTGCTTAGTCAAGCCGTGTACCGCGTAACAGTCTTGACTATTAACCTGAGACGACATGGAGTCACAAAGAGAATGTGAAGAGCGCCCCTGCAGTGGCTTCACCTTAATGTACTCGGCGCCACAATAACTTGAGGAATTAGAAGAGTTTACGCGTCCAGCCCACCATAGTCTACCTGTACCAAGCCCTACTAGTACTAGTTGGTAATTTAGCCATTACTACTAGTAACTACCTAAGTTGACATAGTTACTTTAAGCTTCGTATAATAGCTAGCCCTAAAGTTGAGAATATAAAAGTCCAAGTCTTTCATCTTCTCAAAGAGGATATTTTCTATGCTGGCAACGCTGCGATAGAACGAGACGTGTTATGTATGGCATGATTGTTTGTCAAAGGTGGGCGTAATGTGGATAACAGCATTGACGAAGTCTTCGGTTCCTATGCCGCGTCACCTCGGCAATAAGCTAGTGCGAGTCAAACAAGAGATGAAGCCTTTTTTTACGCATTCGAGCATCTGAATAGGGACTTTGCAGGGGAAGGAGGAATGTGGCATGCGTGATTCCTCCCTGCCGCTTGCGCAGAGTGAATTATACGCGCTGAACCCAGAGGCAGGGGATATACCATTGCTCATTCGATAACACCACGTCCTCTAAGCCCTCATTCCCTATGACCCGTTTTTCGGAGATGCTCTTTTCAAGTCGTAGTATATACATACTATAGATCCACCAAGTCATGCCATCAGCCAAGGCTAGGCCAAACTCGCCCGGTCAACCAATACAGTCGAGTGCCAAGTCGCCCCCGGGCACGCCGAATAGCTACGCCGTAGCGAAGTAGCCAAAGGTGGTACTATAAAGATGCCCGCACATTCCTCCATGTCTTAACTGGACCGGCCAGCAAGATACTCTTCACCTCCAACCCCCAGACCTGCTCCCCCCCCCATCATGTACCTCTCAACCGCAACCGTGTGCGTGCTGGGCGCCCTGCAGCCAGTCCTCGGCTCGCCCGCCCCCCAACGCGTTCCTAAAGACGGAAGCCAGAATGTCATTATATCCGACTGGCTCACAGCCACCAAGACCGTCATCAACTACTATGCCCCGGACCCCAAGTGCGGCGGCCACCGCCCATGGGTCGGCATGTGGCCGGCTGACGCCTGCAATCCCTATGCTGCCGACTTCAAAGCCTGGGCCTACGTGAAGAAGACTCAAGGCTATGATGACATCGCCACGGTCGAGTTTGACAATGCGCAACTCGGACCCGGCGAGTTCAAAGCCGCCTTTGTCTGCGAGGACGGCAAGCGACAGCCCTGGATGCTCTCCAATACGTACAAGATTGACGAGGCGCCCCCTTCTAAGCCGGGCCAATGTGTCCATCGACAGAGCTCCTGGCAGACGACTTGGAAGTATACCGCGTGCGACAAGGTCGAGAATGATCTCTGCTATGACAGCCCATTGACCTACATTGCCTGCAGTGACTGCAGAGAGCAGTGTGGCCGACAGTCCGGCTAGGCACAAACCAGAGCCTTGATCTGCATGCGCCGAGTCAATGACGGCGCTGTATAAAGGGCGATTGAAGATGGACAGAAAAACTTGCAGTCCGTGTAGGGGATGGCTGCTTCCTTTTCATGTTAATATCACTAGTATTTACGAACCAGACCTTTTATATAGCCGCTGCTCAAGCTGAACTTATGCATAATACTACAAAGAAGTTCTTGGACTTGTTGGACAGAGTTGCCAGCTGCAAAGTGTATTTGACGACATTGTCATCAGTGACTGAGCACTGGGATGACGGGCCCGAGAGAGGAACGTTGAAGGCATATCGCGAGGCAGCAAGGTTGCTGGCACTGTAAGGCGAGGATGCGCAAGCATGAGCTGAGGCGGCTGGTGCCGTTGGAATCCCTTTCCCTATCCTTCATGTTCAAGCTCACTTTAGTTATAAATCAACTTAGATCAAACGGCGTCTTAAACATGATAAAAGAAAGTTTCTTAACTTAAGATATGGCAATATATGACAATCCTGGCGCATGGTCCTTCCGCTCCAGGTTCAAGACCACTTGTTTCAGCGTCAATCCTTGTGCTTTGTGCACCGTGATAGCGTAGAGTGATTGTTGCTTCTACCAGGAAGCCAGCGTCCCTGCTGGCTTCTGACTGGCTAGCCCCTGACTGAGGCCCACTTATCTAGCTGCTATCGCCACCACCAGCGGTGGTGGCGATAGCTAACAACAAGCAAGAACAACATCATGATCACCAGCGCGTAGCCGTTTGTGCCTGTGATAATTATCACCCGATAGAAGCCTTGCGCTTCCAACAGTGATGATCGGGAAAGAACCATGCAACTCCAACGCGCGTTTTCGGCTGTGGCGCTTGCACGTTCTGTTCCGCTGGCCTTTCTTGTTGACTTCAAATTCAGCTGCAGCACGGAAATTGGCGCACTTGCTACAGAAGATTTTATCAACCTCCGCAAGTTGAAAATTCATTGCTTGACAAGGTAGAAATGACGGCTGGTGATGGCACAAAAAGACGCGTTCTGAGGAGCGCGGAATGGAAATAAACAGAGTTCCAAAAAAGGAAAGGTGGAATTGATGACTAAGTGAAATTTCACCACATCATCGCAGATTTAGTGAAGTGCATTACGCCCCCACCTGCAAGCCAGCCAAGCCATCTTCCCGCTTTTTAGGTCCCAGCACGATTAAAGGCTTGGGTTGTAAAAAAAGTCTGTAAGCGGATGCACTGTATAGCATGATGCGCTCCCAAATTGAGGCTCCGAATATCTGCCAACTGACTTACCTGACTCCAAGTACTCTGAAAGCGAAGTTGATCCCAAGCCGCTCGCGTATGCAGTCCCTCAGGGCTCTGCAAGAGTCGCATGGGGTCTTGCTTACAACAATCTCAACCTGACGATTCCTCTCCTGCAACATAAAGAGCTGGAGGAAATCGTCCACGCCCGACTTATGACCATCTGCAATATTGCGGAAAATATAGTTCCTCCTCACGAAAAAGCACATTAGCTGTGCTTCCGCATGAGACGCGTTGAAGCTTCCTGCTACACCGCGTTCGTCATAAGGGCTGGACTCGAAAGAGAAGCCAATGTCCTTTGCAACAGCAAAGTTCTCAGTTCCACCCCAATACCCTTCATTTATTCTTATGTATCCAGCCTCTGGTGGGAGAAACTCTGAGCGAATGGGACTGGTCCTGCCGCTTACTGCAGCTACGAGGGGAAAGGCCTCGCCCCGAAGGAGAACCGCTGCAGTTTTGCTTTGAGTGCGTATTTCTATACCTTGGCTTGGAATGACAAGCGATATCGAACCGGGAGACAGAGACTTGTAGAAGTATGCGTCTGTGAGATCCGCGAGGTTAGGCTGCACGCCTGAAGAGAGGCTCGCCGCCGGGGTGTGCTTTAACAATGCCCGAATCAACCTCCTATGCCTCTTCTTGACGAACGGGTCCTCTAGGTATTTGATACTTCTTTCATGCCTCTCCCGATCATTCCTCTCAGACTCTTCCGCTAAATTGCCTGCCGTCATACCGCGCCGGTCCTTCAGAGAACTGTCTGCGCCAGCTTCAAGCAAGAGCTCAACTATTTTAGGATAGCCCCAAAGGGCAGCTTCCATCAGCGGCGTTCGTCCTTTGGCATCAGCCACATTGGTGTGAGAGCCGAGTTTCAAAAGGTACTCAACAGCTTCACAGTGTCCATTAGGCGCTGCTAGCCCCAACAAGCTTTGTGTCACAGCACCATCACGACTTGTCTAAGACACTCACGTGAGCATAGATCATTAGCGCACCATACTTCCCTCCTCCTTAAGGCACAACTACGTTATTACTAGCACCTTAGATTCGCCCCGTGATAGTTTGTGCCTTCCTTTTTGGTTGCGCCGCCGTCTATTTTGTTTCCATCTTCAATGCGGCCCAGCCACCACGCCTGACAGGGGCGACCTTAGATCCACGAAGTCCCGCGACAGACGCGTCGCGATTGAGACCATCCACGAAGACACCCACAGCGCGATTGACACGTCGCGATTGAAGATACCCACGAAGACACCTACAATGGCACCGGAAATCGACACTCCCGCCTGGAAGGCCAGTATTTTAGAAGGCATTACGGCTTTCCCCCATGTCTATACCATTGTCACCTGCGCCGACACTACCCACGATCTCTCCCCGGTTTTTGAAGCCGACAAAGATGCATACTACGCCAGACAGGTACAGGAGTACTGCGAGCACATCCAGTTATCCCTCCACGCCAAAGCTAGCGCTCTCCATGAGGAAGTTCAGACCCTCCGTGACGAGAATCGCGACTTGAAGAAGGAGGTTGCTACACTCGACAAGGTGATCGACCGAGTCGGCGCTCCTAAGCATACCACCGGCCAGCTTCCCCATCGCCAGACCCGAGACCATCCCACGTTTAATGCCACCGAGAAAGATATCGAGAAGCGACAAGAGGAGTATGTCGGCTGGCGCTCCAAAGCTATGCGCAACTTAGCCGTGGATAAGACCATCTACAACACTGAGTTCCGTCGTTTGCAATACATTGGCAGTATGCTTGATGGCAGCGCCTACACGCTTGTCCGCCAGAGCCTAGATGTGATTACAATGAACCCCGACGAAACAGGACTATGGGAATGGAAGACCGCCGACGACCTCATTGAGTTCCTTAACAGCCAATACGAAACCATCGACCTCGATCGCACTGCCAGCCGCAACTTCGACAACTATTTCATGACAAATAAGCCCTTTGAGAATTTTATCGCCGAGTTCAATAAGCTTGCAACCCTCGCTGGCAAGACTGATAAGCAGAAGGTTGAAGCCCTCCAACTCAAGGTATCCAACGAGGTCATCGACGAGGTCATGCACCGTAGCGGCAAACCTGGGAATGACGACTGGCCTGGATGGAGAAAGCTGTGCCAGGACGTCTACAACGACCTTGAGCAGAGTAAACACATCAGGAGGATGCGTAGCCGACGTGAACCTGGCCCTCGCAGTGCCTCCGACAACCCCCGTCCAAACAACCCGCCGGCCCCAGCCGCGCCAATCGCCGACGCGGGCGAGCTCATGCAACTTAGTGCGTCCTCGACCTCCGAAGCTCGCCGACGCGAGCGCCAGGAAAGGGGCCTCTGTTACTACTGTGGCGGAACCCACAGGATCCGCGACTGTCAGGAGAAAAAGGACAACGATGCCAAGTACAGCCTTCAGAATAACACGCCACGCAGTGATGCCGCTCGTGGTCGTGGCCACGGCCGTGGCAGCTACTACTCCCCTCGTCCCTCGCCCCAGGTCCCGAACGCAACATACCAACCCCAACCCCAGCCCCAGTACCGACAACTCCAAGGCTTCCCACCGACCCAGCAACACTACGTGCAACCCCCTTACCTTAGTCCTACCTTCAACCGCCTTCACTCCATGGATCAAGGCTTTATCGAGTCTGACACCAGCAGCTTAACCGACGCTAGATCAACCCCAGACACAGATAGATCCCAGGGAAACGTCTAACCTCCGGGCACCGTCGCGCCCGGAGGTCTTCAGGAACACCTACAAGCTTATTACCATTGTGGATCCGCAAAGTTATTTGTGGCAATGAACCTCTTGTCCTCAGATCCATAAATAGCAAATCGCTACTCATTCAAGCGACACTGTTCCCTGCGCACCAACAACCCGTACAAGTGAATAGCTTAGTCGATAGTGGATGCTCCGCGCGGGCATTCGCCGACCGCGGCTTTATTCGCGCTAATAAGATCCAAACCGAGAAGCTGCCAAAGCCACGCACCCTGATCCTCGCCGATGGGAAGGTCGCTGACCATATTACCCACTACGTCATTCTTCCCGTGAGTATGGGGAACCACATCGAACCCTGCGTCTTCTTTATTACCACGCTATCCCCAGACACTCCGCTTATTTTTGGACTCCCCTGGCTCCAACGTCACAACCCCACAATCGACTGGGCGAGAATGACTCTACTTTTCCAGTCACAGTATTGCCTTACTCGCTGCTGTTCTACACCATGTTTCGCACCGACAGTACCCAGTCCCAGGCCCAGGCCGCACGATATTGCGCCACCTACCGAGTCCCAGCCCCCCCGCCAGCGGGACCAGGCCTACATCGAGGACACTGAAGATGAAGGTTACGGGAGTGGTGATTCTATACGAACCTCTTCTTCCTACCGGCCGCCTTCTATTGAAGACAGCGACGACGAAGAGCCTCACCCCGAGGGAAGTGTGGAACTAGATATCCCTCAGACCCTCACTCCCGGCCAAGATCACTACCGCACTTTTCGACCGAACCGCCCCCGTTTTCCGCTGGAGCCTGAGACCCGGGCCCGGATGATCCCCGACAGGCCACAGTTAAAGCCAGCACCTGTCACCCTGAAGGCAGGCAGACGGCGCCCAGTACACCAGGAACATCATGCTCCGCCAATGCCGCAGCTCAGTGTGCCAATTCCACCCACGCCGAATGGGGCGTGTCCGCCTGATCCATATGACCGGCCTGATCTGTCTGATATCAAGATGTCAGCCGCCACCAACTTTCTCCAGTTCTGCAAAGGCGGCGCGACCCAGTGTATGAAGATTACATGGCCTGAACTAGACGCCATCCAGACGGAAACCCCCTTACTAAAACTCCCCGACTTGCCAGAGAGCGTGTTCCACAATATCCTCGAAAAACGCGGCGACCACGCAGCCATCTCCCAACTATTCCCTAGTGCGTTCCACGATTTCCTTGATGACTGCTACAGTCAGGAACACCTGCGACGCGTGACGGACGCCGACGTCGACAAGTTCTTGAAAGGGAAACCGGACCTCTCCCACGAAGACATTAAAGCAAGGCTTCCTGAGTGGCTTCAAGATAAAATAACTGGGTTCCTGCCCCATCTAGCGAATGAATTACCTCCACGACGCGGTTGGGATCATAGAATCGAACTTACCCCTGGCAGGGAGCCCCCATATCAGAAGAACCGCCCGTTATCCCCTAGAGAGCTCCTTGTTGTTCGGAAGTGGCTTGATGATAACCTATCTAAGGGATTCATCCGTGAGTCGCGCGCCCGATGTGCAGCGCCCCTTCTCCTGGCCGCGAAACCTGGTGGTGGTGTACGTATCTGTCAGGACTACCGCGGACTCAACTCGGTCACAATCAAGAACAGATACCCGCTGCCACTGATCCGCGAAACCTTAGACGCTCTCTGCCACGCCAAGTACTATACAAAGCTGGATGTTATCGCTGCCTTCAACAAGCTACGCATTGCCGAGGGGCACGAGTGGAAAACCGCATTCATCACACGCTTTGGCCTTTTCGAATCATTGGTCATGCCCTTCGGTCTCTGTAACGCCCCCGCTTCGTTCCAACACTATATCAACCATACTCTGTACGACCTGCTCGATAAGACCTGTACGGCCTATCTCGACGATGTTTTAGTCTATTCACAAACGCGCAAAGAACACCGCCAACACGTCCGCGAAGTTATAGACCGCCTGATAGAAGCGGGCTTGCAAATCGATATTAACAAATGCGAGTTTGAAACAACAAAAACCAAGTACCTTGGACTCATCATAGCTAGTGATGGAATCCAGATGGACCCAGACAAAGTGGCGACGGTTACTGGGTGGGAAAAGCCCGCCAACGTGCGCGAACTCCAACGCTTCCTCGGATTCGCAAACTTCTACCGCCGCTTCATCCGGGATTTCTCCTCAATCTGCCGGCCTCTGAACGATCTCCTACGGAAAGAGTCAGCCTGGTGCTGGACCGAACGGCAGCAGCACGCCTTCATGCAACTAAAGACCGCGTTCACCACAGGTCCTGCCCTTGCCTTCTTTGACTACAACCGTAAAACTGTCCTGGAAACAGATGCTTCCGATTGGGCCTCTGGTGGAGTACTGTCTCAGTATGACGACGATGGCAGTCTACGACCTGTTGCGTACTTCTCTTCTAAGCACTCCGCAGCCGAATGCAATTACGAGATCTATGATAAGGAACTACTCGCTATCATCAAAGCCCTAGAAGAATGGCGACCGGAGCTCCAAGGGAACGCGTCGGAGTTCGAGATCATGACAGACCATAAGAACCTCGAGTACTTCACAACAACCAAGGTTCTGAATCAGCGTCAGGTTCGCTGGTCCGAGTTCCTCTCCCAGTTCAACTTTCGCATCATCTACCGCCCAGGGTCCAAAGCCGTTCGACCAGACGCTCTTAGCCGACGATCCCAGGATGTGCCGTCCAAATCTGACGTTGAGGACGATCGCCTGAAACAGCGAAGGAAGACCCTGCTACCCCGGAACAGGTTCGACCCGTCCGCTCTCGCAGACTTACTCGGCGACATTGATGACACGACTCCCATGGCAGCGGCGCCCGTGACCACCCTTACCCCGGATCTGGAGAGACCTATTGACGACATTATTGACCAGGCATACAACAACTCTGACCTCGCCCAGACTATGCTGACAGCACTACGAGACCCCAACGTCAAATGTTGGCCTAAATCGGTTCGCAGAGAGATACGAATAGCCATGCAGGACTGCAAAGTCCGGGGTAACCGGATTTACTACCGGGACCGCCTGTTTCTACCCCCCACCGACGAAGCCAAGATCCAAATCATTTACAGAACGCACTCATCGGGACCAGGAGGGCATCCTGGCCGTGTCAAAACACTCGACTTAATCACGCGGACGTATTGGTGGCCACGAATGTCAAAAGATGTCGAGATCTTCGTAAAAGGATGCGACCTCTGTGTGCGCACGAAGACATCTCGTTCTGCCCCGCCTGGATTCTTACAACCGCTTCCCGTCCCGTTTCGTGCCTGGTCGGATATCTCCGTTGATTATATCACGCCCCTGCCCGACTGCAAGCGCTTTCAGTCCATTTATAAACATATCCTGGTAATTGTGTGCCGTCTGACTAAGATGCGTCACTTTGTGGCCACGCGAACCCTTAACGTTGATGAGCTTGCCGACGCGTTCGTGAGCAGAGTTTATGCGCTACACGGAGCCCCAGACAACATTGTCTCCGACCGTGGCCCTCAGTTTGTATCCGAATTCTGGAGACAGCTATCCAGACGACTTGGTATTTCCCTGAAGCATTCTTCGGCCTACCACCCCGAGACGGACGGTCAGACAGAGCGCATGAACTCAGGGGTAGAGCAGTACCTCCGCGCGTTTATGAGCTTCCACCAAAACGATTGGGTGGACTGGCTTCCGCTGGCTGAGTTTGCCGCGAATAATGCCACGTCAGACACAACTGGCGTCTCGCCGTTCTTCGCAAACTATGGCTTTCATCCGCGCCTTGGCATAGAACCCGCAGATCCATGCCCGCCGAACCTCTCCATGGCACAGAGGAGAGGGTTTTATAAGGCTAACACTGTTGCCGAGCGTTTCGAACGGATCCTCGACCAGCTCCGCGCCCTAGCCCAGCAGTCCATTGACAGATATGAGCGTAATGCCAATGAGTCCCGCACGGAGTCCCCTATATACCATGTCGGTCAAGAGGTATGGTTGAGTACCAAATACCTTAAGACCAACCGACCAATGAAGAAAGGGGATGATAAGTGGACGGGTCCTTATGAGATCCTTAGTGTGTATCCACGCGCATGTCGCCTCGAACTCCCCGACCGCATCCGCATATTTCCCGTGTTCCACAACTCACTGTTGCGACCAGTCTCTACAGACGAAGACGGGAACCGCATAGGGCTCCCTGGCCAGAGTGAGATTAATGAAAATGAGTCCCGGAACATCCGCGGCCGCATCCTCGAGCGGGACGACGAAACGGAAGAGGTGGTAGAGAAATGGTTATTTGATTCGATCCTTGACTGCCGTAATAAGGACGGTTTACAGTACCTCGTCAAGTGGAAATATCATGCCCCAAGCTGGCAACCAGCATCAGATCTGAAGGGACAGGACGACACACTCCTAGAATTCCACCGCGAGCACCCTGACAAGCCCGGCCCCGCTACCTGGGTGAAGAAACCCCCAGCTCAACCAAGACGAAGTCTCCGCCTACGACGAGTACCACTTCCAACGGTGAAAGGAGTATCCTTCGCAGCGACACAACTGGTGAAGCAGATTGGGGTCCATTTTCGGTAGCTTTGTTTCTGTCGCTTTGGTTTAGAACCATTCGAGGACGAATGGTGTTTAGAGGGGGGATACTGTCACAGCACCATCACGACTTGTCTAAGACACTCACGTGAGCATAGATCATTAGCGCACCA